TACACGATAACAATATAAATCACATAATAATTATCATTTTATGTGTTAAAATAGACAATATATATTTTATAACAAGATCAATCAATAATAGTATTTAACCATTAATAAAAAGAACATTACTTTAGGCAAATTTGAGATCTTAGTTTTTAAACAATTACAAATTTCAAAAAGAAAACACGAGCAAAAGTGTTCTTCTACCACCAACATAAATCAGGAGGGAAAGAAAGTATGCCCCCCCCTGAAATATGTTGGTGGTAGTGTGGACTCTAGTTAGACATTGGGTGATGGTATATCTGGCCGTACCGACATTACGTAACGTGCTTCCAAGAATAGCGCCCCATCTCGCCTATCCCGAAAAACGCGTTACGAACACCGCTGCGACGAGATTCGAACCACCTACCAGAAAACTTAGAAATCGGTATTTTACCCAATGCCGCTAGTGCCCACGGTGAAGTCATGAAGCAAAAATGTACTTATTTAAAAGACACAGATTGAAGAGTTATATGACTTGTTATCAATAACATTATAATAGATGGCATACAAAAGCTCTTATCTTTTTTTTTTAAAAGAAAAATCAATGACATAACCTCATTTAATAATAAATGCTAGGTTTATCCTATTCTGTACTAATATATTCTATTATTTTCATTCATTTCAAACTATCGTTTTGATGTTTACTTAACTAACTAAGTTAAACAGAAACTATTTTATAATAATTTTATTTCAACAAATTTTATATTTTTTGTATTATAAGTTTTAACCAAACTACAAAAATACAATTTCTACATAATGAAATGTTATGTTTTTGATAAAATACACTGAAATCCATTCTAATATTAATAAGTAAGTACTCTTTAAAATGTTAATATATGTCAAAAAAATCCTTTTTATAAGAGAATGAAATATAATTGTTATAGTGCATAAAAGAAATAAAGATTTACAAGCAATTTGTTGATATATTCAATTTAAGTATTGGTTGGTGCATACTAAAGTTATACTAGAAATATTTTAACTTCAATTGCTTATTACATTGAAATTCAACAATGAAATACTGTGATAATAAACTAATAATGATTAGCTCAAAACATGTATCTAACCTACTTGTTACTCAATTGATGTTTCCAAAACTAATTTATCAAAATAACTAAGCAAATAAGTTTGAATATTATAAAATATAGTAAAGATTATAAGTTAAATTCTGAATATTTCATTATACAAATTATTAAAAAAATTAGTCTGACTACATTTTTATTTATCATAATATTTTGTTGTTTTATTTAAGCAATTTTATTCAGTTTAAAAAATTACACATATAGTTGGCTGTTGGGTTGTATTTTTATAGATTAATTATCATTTAAAGTTTTCATGCTAAAATATTGTATAGTTTCATATTTGGTAACCATAACAATTAATGTAACATTCATTTTTGATTTTGATATACATTTAGAAATACTTAACCAAAAATAGTTAATTCAAATAAAAATAGTAATTAAATTTTCAAATTATAAATTAAAGTTTACCCCATCACTTCAATTTAAAAATATGTCAATTTACATTTAATTAATTTAGTTTTTTTTGTTTATATTATTATTGNTTGTAATTATTATTATGAATAAAAATATCAATTAAAAAAAATTTCTTTAGATCCTCTTTAACTAAGTTTTATTATATTAAAGGATGATAATCATTGTTCATTGTGTAAGGTTAGTAACTTTTTAAATATATTTTAAAATATTATCAATATATTAAAAGGCTATTTATTTCAATTGTATATTTTCTTAAATATCTTACTGACTAATTCTGTTTCCATAGAAATACTAATTTCTTATTATGCAATTAAAAATGGCGAGAAATTTGTTAATTTCTTAAATTGATGAATTGTGCGTTCTACTTAAAATATTAGTGAGTAAACCCAATGTAATATAATAAGACATACAAGAAACTGGACGATGTTCCATCACAACAGAATAGTAGTTGAATTATTAAATAGTGAATTATCCAATGGAAAGATAGAGCTTATGGTACAGTGAAATTATCATAATATTGATCATACTAGTTCATATAGATGCTGATTTTTTATGGATTTATCTTAGAAATACGTATTTAAAATTAATATATGCTATGCGCAACAGAAAAATGAACGCAAAGTTAAAAGTATTTTAGTCAATAATTAGAAAACAAAATTAGAAACGATATGTACATTATTTAAAAATTAATCATCAAAACAAAAATCAATCTGTGAAAAACAAAAGAGTACAAAAAGTTGCTTACAGAGC